ACGTTTTATTGAAAGAGTCTATATATAGTACTTTCGGCACTAACGGTATACAAAAAACGGTGAAGTTTCAGTTAGCAGCCAATAACGTTTTTACGTTTTTTTTTCTCAGACTGAGTATTCAAGAAACGCTTGACAAGCTCGAGGAAGAGGAGAAAGACGTCAGTGCTGTCTTCATTTGTCCTCCCGATGTCACAGAGAGGACTCCGATGGGGATTCCGCTGATGACGATGACGGTGGATATCTCGACAACCTAAATCGAAACCAACTACGAGCTACAGCGGAGGTAGTCTTGGCGAACGGCGACACCCTGTCTCAGGAACGTACAGGTACAGAACTGGAAGTCGGTCCTGGGAACAGCGGGTGGTCAACAGGTGAAAACAGGTCAGGTGCAGATACAACGCAGGCTGATCAAGATCAAGGTGTGCCACGTAAAAAACGAGCCAAGTCTCAGAAGGAATCGCTGGAGTATAAGTGGGTCAAAAGGGACATCAAGGTCGGGCAGCATTTGCGATCAGAAGAAAATCCCCCGAGCAGTGTTGACCTGTCTCAACGTTCTCCTACCGAGATATTTGAGTATTTTTTCAATGACGACCTGCTAGATCACATCGCTTACGAAAGCTGCCGATATGCTGGAAGCAAAGGGGAACGTTTCGCTGTCAGCAGGGACGAACTAAAAACTGCCATCGGAATTATGCTTCTGTCAGGCTATCACACTGTACCCGCGCGGCGCATGTACTGGAAGCGAGAACGTGACATCGGCGTGGAACTGGTCGCGTCTGCTATGAGTCGAGATCGGTTTGACGAAATCCTCAGGTTTCTACACTTCGCAGACAATCAGCGACTGGACAAATCGGACAAGCTTGCTAAGCTACGTCCCATCATGGACCATCTTGAGGGAAGGTTTATGGCTGCATTCCCTGTGGAGCAAGAGCTGTCATTCGATGAAAGCATGATCGCCTACTTCGGAAGACACGGGTGCAAGCAGTTCATCCGGGGAAAGCCCATCAGGTTCGGCTTCAAGGCGTGGTGTTTGAACAGCGCAAAGGGCTATCTGATCGCCTTCGATGTGTATCAGGGAGCTACGTACCGTGGTAGAGCCGAGTACGAAGAACGTTTCGGCAAGGGAGGCGCCGCCCTGGCAGATGCGCTTGACAGGCTGCCACTCCACATCCGCAAGATACCACTGAAGCTGTATTTCGACAACTACTTCACTAGCCTTCCTCTCATCAAGCATCTCACCCTGTGCGGATATGGGGCTACTGGAACGATCAGAGACAACCGACTGCCGAAGTCATGTCCAGCAGCTGCAGTGAAGTCGATGAAGGCGCTGGTCAGAGGATCAGTCTCGGTCTGTGGAGACACTAGCAATGGCATTTCAGTCGTGCGATGGAAGGACAACTCTGTTGTAACGGTGGCCTCAAACATGGCGGGCTCTGGACCTCTTCAGACAGTCAAGAGGTGGTCCTCGAAGGAGAAGAAGATGGTGCAGGTGCCTCAGCCGCATTGTGTGTCTGAGTACAACAAGAAGATGGGCGGAACGGACATCATGGACCAAAGCATCAATGCGTATCGCACAAACATCAGGATCAAGAAGTGGTGGTGGGCCATATTTTCATGGATGCTGGATGCAGCAGTGCAGAACACGTGGCTCGTACACCGTACCAAGGATGAACACGCCAGCCTCCTAGACGTCCGCCGGCAGATCTCCACGACACTGCTGACACGGTGTCAGCGAGATGTCAGCGGTGCCGGCACAGAAGGCGCAACAGGGCCGCCAAGGTCAGTACCTACGGGAGCATCACGGTCCACCGTCCCTGACATCCGGTATGACGGCATGCACCACTACGTCGTCCCGGCAGAGTCTCAAAGGCGTTGCAAACGCGAGGCCTGCAAGTCACGGCCTTCAACAGCCTGCTGCAAGTGCAACGTCGCGTTGTGCGTGAAGTGCTTCCGCCCATACCACTCAAAGTAAAGCACAGCGAAAGGTCAACTGACTGAACTGTGTCAACTGTGTCAACTTTCAACTGCAGTGTCAACCGTGTGAGACCCCTATGGTGAATCCTGATCTGTTTCGCAGAGGCATCATATCTCAGTACATCAAATCGGTCATGTCTGTGTGAACAATAAACGTTGGATATAGCCCGTCCATTTTTGTGTACTGTAAATGCCGAGAGTACTAAATATAGACGCTCCATATTTCCGGAACTGAGACAAATAAAAACACAATCAGGCGAAATGTCTGTTAAGTAGGTGTAGTTGACGCCGTTTTAATAGAAGAAAACGTAATTTTTCAAGTAATTCTACTTCCGGCACTAATGGGTTAAAAGCTAATATCCATGTCGCTGACGAGGTAAAATGCAGTAAGAATGCCAACACACATGATATACGGCGTTTTCTACGTTTCTGTCTTGCTCTTGAGCGCACTCCATTCCAATTTTTTTTTGTCCGGATAAGTGGGAGGTCGAGCCTTGACTTCGCACGGCTGACAATGATATCGGCCGTCATGGCCGACACGCTTCTGCGACACTCTTCTGCGCTAGCAGCATTCCTCTGCTTCAGGAATCATCGGAGAACATCGCTTCTCCACGGAAGCTGCGTGCGAGGAAGACTAGCGATCCAGATTTGCATTTTTTTTGGGGGGGGGGGGGGCAACTCATGTACCTAGGAGCCAAACCTAGCGTAACCCCAAATCCTATTTTCTCATCGGATTTAGGCCAGTTATTTTTCGTCACAGCCCTGACACGATGAACATTTTTTTTTTTTAATTAGAAAGAAAAAATATAGAAATGGTAACCCACCCGACCCATGCCTTTATATCACTTTGTATAAACACTTCACATTGCTTTTGTCGACCAGTTAACCCGCTCCGGGTCGATGCTTGTCGCAACCTTTGCGGGCCGGGAGGTGGTAAAACACCCCCTGTTTAACTCGGCTCCTGGGCCACGCACTGATTGAACTATGTTTCATTATCGTTGGGGGGGGGGGGCAAACAGGCCACTTTAGGCCTTTGAGGGGGCATAGCCCTAAATGCCCCCTCCCTGCAGATCCGCCAGTGTAAGAGACCATTGGAGATGGAGGAAGCTCTGCTGGGTGGACATTCAGGACCGGGACCACGGTCTGGTTACGGGTACTTGGACCGGGCTTTGCCATGGCCTGAGAATGAATGAGTAACTTCACCACCAATGCATACATCGACAGTCGACACCATCACGAGAGTTCAATCAACACTGGCGCGGCCGCAGCCCCTCGAGGTGAAACTCACCAAGCCTCCAGGCGGCTGCGGGCGTCGTTTTCGTCCTCGCCAAGTGGCAAGTAGGCTCTGGACACGAGACGGCTCACAATTGTGGCTTGGGTACTATGATTATGGTTAGAGCAGACGAAAGTTATCACTGTGCTGCTGCCGCGGTCGGGCTCGAGGGGCTCGAGTGTCGACTAGGCGTCTGTGGCGCTAGCGTGTCTGGTCCGAGTTCCGACTGAGATTATGGGCTGGTGCCGGACGTGGTTTGCCCAGAGTTTAGCTGCGCTGAAGCGAAGGTCGCATTACAGGCGTGACTTTAAAAAGTGTATCGACAACGTCTACACTAAATAAAGTCAATTAACTACTGACCTGAAACTACGCTTAAACTCTTCACCCACGAACTCTGCCTGAGACTTTCGTGAAAACCACCGTATTATTACTGCCACTAACACCAAGCAAAACCAATGGAGACTGCAACGCCCGAAAAGTAGGTGCAAGCTTTTGGAAATCGCGACTGCGCTTGTTGAAGACAATGGCTCATAATTTTTTAATTGTGATTTCCGAAACCAGCAGACTCGATTGCAAATGTTTTGGGCTATAGGCATGTCAACTTTATTTTTCGAGACACCCTATTGTGCACGTTTTGACAGAGTTGATGACGAGAGGCGCCAATTACGAGGTTCTAAAGTACATACTAGTGAAAGCCCGATTTCAGGTGTTTGACCTGACCTTGACCCGACCTGTGACCTCAAAATTCAACTTCAAAGTACTCATCTAAAGCGTCTCATCGCGTGCTTTCGTTTGCCGCCTCGTGCGTTTCGCTGCGCCTATTGGTTCTCGAGTTATCGGCTGGGGGCGTTTAACGCCCCCCCCCCCCCCAGCAAACGGCGGGTGGCGAAATACCCCAGCAACTGCCGGGATAATGACGCAAGGCATGTGAATGATATACCTTTTCGGGTTTCTTCTGCCTGATTACCCTATCCTGTCAACTGTTGGCTGTGTTTATCTACAGCTATACAAGCGTGACCGCAGGCAAGACTCACTGGGAGAATATCTGCAGGAGAAAAGTTTATTGGTGATGCGAAATATAATCAAAAGAAAACGTCACCTTTTGACAAGCAATCCAGGTAGTCACAGGCAAAATGGTAAGCACAGTTTATCTGTGAAGGCATGCAGCTAACGCACAGTATGTACCTGTAGCTGCACTTATATGGAGAAATGTTCAGCAATTAAAAGAAGGACGACGAAATCGATGAACGTGACTGTTACATTACTAAAAGGAAAAATAGATAAAATTGTCACGATACCCGTGGCTATAAAGCGACTGGAAAGGACATTTATTTTGACACTAAATAAACTATATTAAGTATACTCGTATGCCTAACCATGGCCAGCACACCACTGAACGTGTCTGATATCTGATAACATATAACTACATCAGACTAAAGGGCGCCGGGCGGTTTGACAGCTGCACACAGAAAAATATTAACACCGTTAGCGGTGTAATTGCACAGTACATATCTGAGCACTTGAGGAAAGTTAATTTAGTCTCTTCCCCGCTTAAATTACTCGCGCTTCTAAATGAACACCAGGAAGAAGGTAATAGAACACTGCTAGGAGGGTTGGGTGTTTTGCTACATGTAGTAAAACACCCAACCCTCCTAACAGTGTTCTATTACCTTCTTCCTGGTGTTCATTTAGAAGCGCGAGTAATTTAAGCGGGGAAGGGACTAAATTAACTTTCCTCAAGTGCTCAGATATGTACTGTGCAATTACACCGCTAACGGTGTCAATATTTTTCTGTGTGTGGTACATAGCTGCAGTCTGCAGTCTGCACTACAATCGGGTACTTGGTTGCCTGACGTCAGAGTTGCATTCTCACTGATACGACTACCTGATTCAATTACAACAGACTGTACTGGTGAACTCAACAGATACGTTCTCTTGCTGTCAGCGAAAATAGAAGAAAAGGCACACTTCAAATAAACTTGCACACGTGATGGCAGAACTTATCCTGCCATCTATAGATTCCAGCTCTGGTCCATTAGGAGAGCAAGTGTCATCAGGGGGTCATACCAGGCCGTCTGTCGTTCAGTTCGCTGCAACAAACGACTTCGCTACCATGACTTTTTCGACGCGAAGTAATGATCCGCTACTGTTATTGGGATACATTACGTTCGTGTGCCTAACTTATTTGTTCTTCTTGGATGCCAGTGTCTTCTTCAGGAACTCCTTGTTGTTCAGATCTAGCTGACCGTCAAAGTACATGTCGTTGACCTGGCTGAGGAACTGGTCCATCTTGCTGGGCAGCTGGTCAATCTGTTTCTGCTGTTTGTCCTTGCGTTGCTGCTCCTCCTGGAACTGTTTCACGTGCTCTCTCAGCGGCTGGACACGATGCTGGCCGAGCCCGATGAAGCGGAACATACGCATCTGGACAAACTCGAGGATCTCAAAGTCGTTGGGCTGATTGAGCACGTCGTCCTTGACCTGCTGGAACGCGCGGATGATGATCGTCAGCAGGACGTTCACGAAGAAGATGGACATGGTGATGGCGAACATGAGGAACAGCACAACGGCCAGCAGACTGGCGGCACGCATGCTTTCAAAGTCGAACTTGTTCAGCATCATTGCAAACTCCGACTCGGTGGCGGACATTATGTTCTTGAAGTCGTCCATGTGCGTGAGCAGCAGCAGATGGAACACCATTGCAAAGGTTCCCAGTGCGATGAAGAAGATCAAGAAGAATCCAGTCAGATCGCCCCAGCATTGTTTTAGAGTCGCAGACAACATTCCTATGCGTCTGTTGAAGCGCAGGAGCTTGCTGAACTTAATTGTGGCAATAAACACTAGCATGCCCAGCAGGTAGCCGAAAACGTCATCCAGGGTCTGAGCGTACTGCATCTTCACGTATCCGTTGCCGTATGTGTCCTTGAAAATCTTCAAAACTGCGTCAGTTTCGATGTATCGTAAGATGTAAACGATAAAAGCGGCCCAGGAAAGCAGTATGATGGCAATCTCGGAATAGACCCAGTAGCTTTTGAAGTAATCCTTCTTCTGCTTGATCATGTCCCGTATCTCTCGAACCATGAAGTAGATAATGAAAAACATGTACGTGATCTCACAGATGAACACGAACGTCTGGAACCCAGCATGATGCCGTATCAGCCGCACGCCGTCGAAGCGCCAGCCTGGTAGGAATCCACCGCCGGGCACAGCCTCCGCAAAGATGGTGGCGATGCCGAACAGGTTCACCTGACTGTTGTAGACTGAAAACTCGACCATAACGGCTCGAGTCATGTGATCAATCCAAGCCTCTTCGCGCAGCTGTTGCATCTTCTTCGCGATGGTCCCCATTCGTCCTGTTAGTGGATAGACGTAACCACCGCCTCCGTATACATCCAAAGAGCCGATGTAAGGAAGGCCATCAAGGTCCGTAGCCGTCATGTAGCGATACTCATTACGGTTGCAGTCTTTTCTGGAACCAGTGAGTGTCCAATTGGTGCAGAAGTGTCTATTCTCTTCGTCAAACAGACCGCTTAGGCCAGCGCAATTCTCAAACGAATCAGCAAATTTCCCGTGTATACGGCAGGTGTTTGGCTTCGAGCGGATCTGCCGTATCATACCATAACCCATGATGCGATTGACTCGATCGTCCAGGAAACCCTTCAGGCCGTATGGTGGTGAGACAAAGTCATACCAGTTTTGAGCACGAAGTTCCTGCATTACCACGTTTTGCGCCCACGTCCAGAAGGTCCCAGCGTCATGAACTCTCGTGAAATCAAGGTCGGGTTTCCCATTAGTCAGGTCTCCCTCTTTTATGAAGGCTGCTTCAAGATTCGCCCTCAGATAGAAAGAGTTAGGATCTCGATTGTCGAAACTCAAAATGATCAAGATGTACAAGAAGAATCCGTAGCTTACGATTTCCCTAATGATGCGCCACATCTGAACTTCATCGAGCCTATTCCTTCTCATTTTACCGAGTGTTTCTTGGTCATATATATCTGGGGCGCCATTGTACTTGGACCTCCTTTTCTTCGGCTTGCTGTGAATCCATTCCTCGTCTGCAGCCAAAGTCGGTTGACGCTCATCCTCGTCGGCATCGTCGCTTTCCAGGTCGACTGACTTGAAGATCGATGAAACAACCATTGCAATCAGGAACACCTTGATTGGCTGGATGAGGAGGATCGAAGAGAAAAATGATGTCAGCAGAGAGGTGAGCCACTTGGTTGTCTTCTCGTTCCCAAACTGCACGCCGTATGCCCAGACGATGAAGGCAGACCCGAACAAGCAAATAATGCATAATATCCAAGCTATGATACGGCACCACCACGGGAGAAGCAGGGGCTTCTTCTTCTTCTTTTTCTTCTTGTCATTGCCCTCATCACTCTTCTCGCCGTGACTGGCCACCGAAGCGGGACGTTCTGACTTGGCAACCTGGTTCCCGAACTTCTGTTTTTCCAGGGCCTCATCAATACGGGATTTTCTGAGCTTCCTTGCCCGTGATTTCTTGAACAGGAACACAATCAAGAACGAAGGTGGGAATATGATGAGGTTGGACATGACGCCGACTGAGATCTGTTCGATTGACAGCGACATCGGGCCGAAGTTGAGAGCGCCAGAGCTTGGTGTAGAGGGTACAACTCCGTACCACATGGCGTTCACCATCATCGACAGGAACAGGAGCGCGAAGCAGCTTGAGACTCGCTGGACACGCGTGAAGCGAGATCGTGGTGGTCGCAGGAACACGGAGAACCATAGGTGACCGTCAGACAGGTTCTGTTGCGATGTGTGCGAGAAGACATGCGAGAACTGTCCCAGCTGCTCCTTTCCGGCGACAGGGATAAGTGCATCGATTTTTCCGTCGTTTTCTTCAACCGCAAGCCATCGGTCGGCAACAAAGTCGTAGTGTTTCCCAGTTTGTACGTCGCGGATATGGATGTACTGCAGATACCAGGAACTGTACCGACCTACTCCTGAATTATCGTGCCACACACGAAGATGCAGCAGATCCCCCAGAGGCCGCGGGCAGGCCATCACGAAAGCATCCTGTCCTCCCTTGCGGAAGAACTTTCTCTTTGGTTTTCCAAAGGTGCGGGGACATGTCTCGTCTTTGTCGCCTACTAGCACCATAGACACCACGGAGTCGGTGGCTGCATCACTCTTGTGGCCGGTGTATACCATGACTTCATAGAGGTATTTGTCACTTTCAACATTGTCTGGCATTGGCCTGGCACCAACCTTCTCGACGTCCTTCTTGTCCTGATACCGGGACCAGATCACCAATATCAAATAGAGACCCAGAGATACAATCATGGTCATATAGATCGTCAGGTTGTCAGTGAACGAGGCGTTTGCAAAGACGTAGGCAAAGTCGATCGTGTTAGGCTCAACAACAAGTCCCGAAGCGAAAGTGGACAAGTGAGTGGTCGCACATGATATCGTCTCTGCGTCTGCACCCACACATGTCAAACCATACGACGTCCATCTGTTCAGATCGTTATCAAAGTAGAAGCAACCGGATGTGAATGTCCGTATCAGATATGGTGTGCTAAAGTTCTTGACCAGCAGGTCTTTGGAGCGGACATCATCGATCGTTTCGTTGGTATCAAGCTTTTGTTTGATGGCTTCCAGATCTAGTTCCTCCTTCAGTTCGCCGACAGCAACAAAAACTCTCCCAGTGCGGTTGTTGACATGTTCTACACCCACGAACCAATCGTACTTGGTAACAGCATCAACTTCAGAAGGAGCTTCGGTGATCTTGGGGAAATCTTCTACCATTTTGAACAGGTCGTGGTTCTTCAAGGTCGGCTGCTTGCCAATGCTGACCATAACAAACAGACGGTGAGGTTCGGTAGTGGGCAGGTACATTTCTACATTGAAAGTGCTGTCAGGTCTCGGTATGTTGAATTGGGAGTAGATTAGGGGCACGATCTTTCCTTTCAGAGCCACAGACGGATCGATACCTGACGGTCCGGGATTGCAGTTCGTGCAGTTTGGCTCACTTGACATGTTCATGGCTGGCTTCTTGATGGTGATTACTAGTGGTTCTGAGAGATTTGCGACCGCCACATTTTCTGAGCCGTCTCCTAATGTAACCTCCATTGAGACCACCTTCGTGTCCTTGCCAAGTGCATCCGCTCCCGCTGCACCGGACTTTGTGTTCTTTGGGTACTCGGCCATGCTGGTACCGACTGGGTCGTCGCAGTTGCCTGTCGGACAGAAATTTTCCCCAGTTTGTACGTTGCTTCCACTGTCGCCAATACCCAGCACAGCAGCTGTCATATTTTTCATAATCTGGTTCTTCATGACAACGCCACTGGCTGATCTGATTTCCTGCGTTTCACCCAGAACCATCTTTTGAAGTGCAAGGAACTTCATTTTCTCCCCCATTCCGTCAAACTTCTTGGCATTTTCCTCAGATGCTCCCATGGAATGATCGCGGACATTGCACGCCTGCTGCTTCAAGATATCCGTATTGTCCACGGGCTTAGAGTAATCGGTGATGCGAGGGTCATATTCCATTTTCGGTGACTTCTTTAAGTCAGCAGGGGGCACTGCTTTGCACTCGGTGTCCTCGGCGATGAGGGCGGAGGCTCCGATGTTCGCTCCGATGACATTGTTGACGGTCGTGAACGAAACGGTCATATCCTCCGGAGTAGACAGATCGGCGTCCTCCGCGCCGTTCAGCATGTCGCCAACCACTCGGATTGAGGCCGAGGATGTGTCCGAGTCCAGGTTCAGAGAGCTCTCCGGCGAGCCGTAGGTAGAGCTGATTATCGAGTCCATCGAGCTGGCAACCATCTCCAGCGCTGCCGGGGTGGTCATCGCTATGTTGCTAATGCCGTTGACAGCTTTGGCGTTCTGTGCCGACACGGCCGCGGCAGTGTCCGTGGGATCCACGCCTTCCTCGACGTAGCCAGGAGCGTTCCACGGAGCGCGCTTGCGGATGGATTCCGCTACCTGCATTATGTTCGCCACTTTTAGTGTCTGCTTCAGCTTCACGGCGTTGGTGAAGGGACCGTCCATGAACTCGTCATACTCTTGTTTTGAAGGCATCTGACTGTTGATGGTGGTTACCTTTTTCATGCTTGTGCTGCCAAGTGTGTCGCTAACTTTGTAGTATACCGTGACGTTACCGTAAGGAAAACGAAGCGTTATCGATGGATTTGGTACCTTGGCAACTGTCTTCCATACTGGGTTGTCAATGGTGTCGGGGTTGGTGGTTTTTGTCATAAACGAATATTCCCCTATATCGTGGCCTTCCGGGTCTGTTGGCAGCTGACATTCTATGATCATCTCACAAATAAGCGCTTTGTGGCACGTCAGATTAGTTTTGCACATGGCGTCTCTCACATTCGGAGGCTTGTTACGAATCACATAGAACGTCGCTGCACCAGTTTCTGTGATGGGTGAGAATTGTTAGACTTCAGACTGACATGGAACTTTTGGATGGTAGAGTAGTTGCTGTAAATTGTCTTTGAAAGTGAGAGATATTTTGTGTTTGGCTCTGACATGATGTACTTGTCGACGTCATCTATTGGGATAGGATCTACCGAGTTGTTGCTCACCATTGACACAGTCCATTCGTAGGTTAACGGCGGATAGCAATCGAAAGAGCAATTTCCGATGAGACCAAGCCGGTTTTCCGGGTTGATGAACACACCACCTTCTGTGGGCGAGCACAACTTCGGGGACACACATTTGATGGTCATCATCGGCGGCTTGCCAGATACCATCTCCAGGTCGATGAACGATTCGGCTCTGCGACCGTTCTTCTTGATGACGACCACCAGGTGGAAAGTGATGTCCTCGCCGGCCGGATGGAAGATATTGGTGTCGATGTCCCACTTGCAGCTGTTGAAGTCCAGCCGACCAGGGCCGCTTCCGAAACAGCCACTTCTGCCGGACGGCACCGGGTCGCCGACATTCCGGACCGGCAGCAGGGGCTTGTCCAGCATCACGGTACCGTTCATGGGGAACTCCTCAGTCAGCTGGCGGCAGTACCACTCGCACTCGAAACTCTTGTCTTCGGGCAGGTCCGGGTCGATGGAGTTGCTGCCGGGGTCGAGGCTGGCTTGCTGGCCCCAGCCGCGCACCAGACGTGACACGGAACCGGGCACCATGATCGCCACGAGCGGTGAACGGATCACGACCACGTATGAGGTGGTCATCACTTCGTAGGGGATGTTGGGAGGCTCATCGCCCTCGTACAGCTGCTTGCTGTAGTCCAATTTGTACAGACCAAAGTCCAGGAAGTTTTTCTTGATGAGGAGTGAGGACTTATTCCAAGACGGCAGGATGTTCTGGATGACAATTGGCTCAATAGTTTCTCCGGTGAGTGGGTCTATTTTTGACACCATCCAACGCTCAATGCTGGTAAATGGAACTTCGCAATTTGGTATGTATGTCTCGGTATCAACCACAATCGGGTTAGATCTGAAATAACCGTTGGCCGTTTCTTTGACAAGAGAAGCACCGTTAACGGTAATTATGGGCTTCTTGCAGCTAAATGGTACAACCAAGAATGTAAGAGATGCCTTTCCAAACGACACAGGATTGAAAAGTATGGCAGTGAGGTTGTACTTGCCATCTGCCCAATATGTGTGCTCCACAATCATAGGCATGGTCAGATCATTGGGCTGGAATTTAGCCTCAGAGAAGTTGGCCATACAGATGCCCTCGTCTCCGTACGCGGCCAGCGGCGCACCGTCGCCGTAGTCGATAACCAGACACAGGGAATGTGTCGAGGCGCAGTTGAATGTGATGTTGATCGGCTTATCCTCTCCACGAGAGGTGACATCTTCGCCTTCAACAATCATGATACCTTCTATTTCCGTCACTGGGTCCTTGATCCAAATGCTCGCTTCAACTGAATCGGATTCTTCGTAAGTGTTGAAAGCCTTGAAAGTAATGTTGAGCTCCTGATTTTCGGAGAAGTAATAGTAGAATTCACCTACGGTTGGGTGAAGCTTGTTCTCAACTTTAAACGTTTGCAAGAGTTCCTCGACGCCACTGGATGTGTTGTACAGTTCATACCTCGTGACACTGCCCTGCGTCATGAGCATGATGAACGTGATATTCTTGTCATTATGAAACTCGTTCTCGTCGTCTCCGAGACCATCCGATAGAGCGTCATTCAGTTCAAACTTCATTTCAACGGCAAAGTCGATGATTTTCTCTTCGACGTCAACAGGGATTTCAAGTGTCACGTTAGAAATTTCGTTTTTCATGTCGATTGTTACGTTGTATAATCCAGCTTGTGCATAGTGATGCGTGAAGGTGAAGGAGTAGAAGCCAGCTTCAGGCAACGTCTCGCCATCGACTATTCTGTAAAAGAAAAATGTCCTGTTAGACAATTTTCCATTGCATAGAAATGGGAAATTATCATCAGAAAAGGTACAGGCTGTGGCTATAGTACGCTAGCGAAGCGTGTATCCCAAACTTAGAAGAAACTCGAAAAACGATGATGTTCTTCAACTTGATCACGATTCTAGAGGGCATAAGCAACTACAAAACTAGATAATCAAACAACAAAGTCTGCCTCGTAACTCACAACTTAACTCTCGCGGGCCCGGGGGGGGGGCGTCCCCCCCCCCTGGCGAATATTTGCGATAGCTCCCGAACGCCTAGGGATAAAGACAAATTAGGAGCACGGTTGTGTAGCGTTTGACCTAGAGAAAAATAGAAAAATAGTTTTGATGACCTGAGATCAGAGGTCAGGTCAACGACCCCGAAATGTGGTTTTAGTTTTTCGCAAATAACTTCGACAAAAATGGTCCTAGAGCTACGACAGTGGTACCATCGCATTTGCCTTGTCAAGCCGCGTCGAATTATATATATTTTGTTTGGAAAAGGTCAAATTTTATGTTGACATCATGTGACCTCGAATGACCTTTGGTTGACCTTGACACATGAAAGGTCGTTTATGATGAATTTGTACCCGCTGATCACGAATCTGACATCTATTTTCCTCTAAACCTTCATTTAGAGCTTCCGGATGGCAAAATTGTCTTATTTATTATTAATAGCTTGAATCAGTGAAATAACCTCTAGCAAGGATACTCTTCTGTGACCTTGACCTTTGAGCAGCCTTGTATCGTAAGATGAACCTCAAATAGGGAACTGATAAGCCTCAAAATATTTCAAAACATTTTTGGAAGTTAGCACGCAAGATGTACGAAAAAATGCAAAGTTTGAGGTCAAATTTGGGCGTGACCTTGACCATGACCTTTAATTTGGAGCACATTTTCGGAATCCTCAGATTCTCTTCTTTTGTTTGACACCCAATTTAGCCGGTTTGATGCATCCTGCCGTCCTCTAGAAGGCTTACTTTGAGATCGCTACACATGTGCCGGTTTTTGCCTTTGACCTTGACCTCTGACCTTGAAAATTGACCTGAGATCAAAAATTTTAGGTGCCTTAGAATTGTCTCGTAAGGACCTTTCGTTTGGTATCACTTTTGTTTCCGTTCCTTCCTCATTTACGGAGTTAGACAGGGGGGCGAAAAACGCCCCCCCGGGCTGCGATGGTTGGGATTACCCCCCGGGCCCGGCCGGGTTAAGGATTGTGTCATATATGTCATCGACGTACCCATATTCGCTGAGAGGGTGGAAATCCTCCATGTGGTAGCCGTCGCCGAAATGAGCGTAGATGGAAGCGTCCGTCGGCAGGCGCTCCGTCTCGGGCAGCTTGACGAGGAAGTTGACGTTAGCCTCGATGGCGTTGGTGGGCTCGGTGAGGATCTGCGTGTTGGTGATCTCCACGGCCCAGGCCTCCACCACGGGGTTCTGCAAAATCACCTCCTGCGTGGCCCACGTGGCGCCCAGCGTCTCCGAGTGGGTATTTGTCGCCGAACCGTTGATGATGAAGGTACCAGGCATCGGATAGGTGACAGTCTGATTGTAGAATGTGGCTGGGTCGACCCGCGCCTGCAGGTCCTGCGTGCCGTGGGGAAGGTCCTCAGTGCCGTAGTCCCAGTTCATGAGTGCTGGGGCTCCCTCGAGCATCTGCAGTCGCACAGTGACCGGCAGTGCCGTGTCCAGGTAGATGGGGCCGTCCTTAGTGTCGGGCACCATCTCATGATTGGCCTGCATCAGCGAGATGGACATGTTGCGGATGATGTACTCGCAGCTGGTGGCGTTGGTGACGGAGGCGCCGTCCGGCAGCGCGGCGGTGAAGGTGACCAGCTGGACTGGTGTGACACAGGTGTGCGCCCAGCTGAACTGCTGCAGAGGAGCGGCCACCACCTCCAGGAGGTGGCGCACAGACTGGCCAGTGGAGGTGGTCAACGCGACACCGGTGCTGTCCAGGTCACCGCCGCTCGGCACGGCCATCGCGGCCACCAGCCCGCCGTCTGTACAGGTCACCTGACGGGTACAGGGGTACGGGGTTATCACGTTACCTGATCAGACGCAGAAACGCGTAGTGAGCATCAGGGCCTTTGACGGGACACGAGCTTACGCAGTTATTATATGTCACGTCACCGGACAGACACGAGACATGCAAGGTTATCACCAGGTAACCTGACGAGTCACGGACCTCAGGCCACCAATAATGGACGTCCTAATGTTTTTACCGGTAGCTCAACTGTGTCAGCTTACCTGAATCATATCTCCGGGCTGAGCGAGCACCTCCGTGGTGATCTCCTGGTAGGTGTGCGCTCCGGCGCTCACTGGGATCGAGAACACAGCCCCGCTGGCCGCGAACCCGGCGGGAGCCGACACCGTGCCGCACGTGCCGGCGTCCACAGCACCAGCAGAGCACTGTCGGGAAATGACACGGCAGGTGAGGCCAAGGTTGAATGAGGAGGAATACGCCGGAGGACATTTATGTCGTAAATAACATGTATGGTTTTGCACATTGCACACTCTGTGGTGAAGTGAAATCCAGCGGCACCGGCCACGGCATGCTGTAAGGCAAATGGGTTGTTCGAGGCACGTATGAGTGCAGTTCAGTCCGTCAAGTTCTGCAATTAACATTCGTCGCGGTACTCTGGCAGTCTTTTAATGGCGACGCCTACGAGGCTTCCAGGAAGGCGCCGGCACCAAGGCGCCGGGTTGCTACGGCCTGGTGCCGTCGTATGCGAATACTTCGCGGCTTTATGACGTGGGGCGTTTCGATCAATATTTCACCAGCGACATATGAGGCGGCGTTTTGATATATAATTCAAATGTGCAGACTAGTGGACACAGCTTCAAGCATGCCTATAACGCTTTAAAATATGGTGTACGAGCATGAATAGGAGGAACAGTGAACACCTTTGCAATAAAGTGATTTGTCTTGCATCGAACATCAATGCACTTCATGATTGCAAGTACACAGTGCATCCGCATTTTGATACCATGGTTGATCAAAGGCGTAACACTGGAATCAAAGCTTTACGGTAAGCAACTATACCTACTAGCAAAACGCAAAACGACCCTACACCGATAACTCCGAAGTCCGAAGTAATTTTATGGTATACCTACGGTATCACTAATCGATCCAGATTGGATTTTCATGCTCTAAAAGCTTCAGCTCTCTTTAGCCGTCTATTTAGCGTCCGTGGCATAATGTCGTTGGATCTCACCAGTCTGGTCAGCGGGCAGAAGGTGCTGGCGGTGCACTGATATTCGGCAGTGGTGTCGGGCACCAAACCGCACGAGCTGGTGCACCCGGCGCCCGGACAGAATACGTCTGGGTCCGTGCACGTGGGGGTCACCACCTGGAACAGAGGCACGGAAACAGGCGGTTAGCAACAGTGGGGAGACCAGCCAGGAGCAGTCAGCAAAGCCAGGACCAACAGTCAATAGTCAGCAACTAGGGTTACCCGCGTGCTCCGCAACGCGAAGGGGGGATTTTTTGACCCGTGGGTATTGGGTTGGTCTGTGTCGATTTGGTTGGTAGATATCCATTTCGTTCGATTGCTTTTTGACGGCCAAGCATTTTGTAAGAAAACAAAAAGATACATCGCATCGAGGTGCCCGTGTCGTATTATCATGCGTTCTACTTTAGAATGATCCGAAAACTGGCGTGAAGTCTTTTGAGGGCCATCGATGAATTTCGCTAAAAATGACAATGTAATGGTTTGGAACATTTACATTTTTAAGGATACTGTTGCTAATCATGCAAAAATGAAGAGTGAATATTGGACAGAATTGAATGCTCTATCCAATGGTACCATATTCAATTGCCAAAGGTATCAGGTTATGCAGCAAACTCCGTGTGATTAATAAAGTGGCACAAAATTGACAAACACCATTTTCTCCTGTGATTTGCACCACCTTGATTTGGATCAATCAGCTTTTCACAATTTTTATATGATAGGCGGTACATTTCTCTTGCCAACAGGCGTTGTTCCAACTCGCTCTGTTTAACGGTCACCTAAAAATAAAATCAATTCCAAAATCCGCCCAAAACCGCAATTTTTCAACAAAAGTGCCCTCCCCGGTGCACGTGGCGCGTGCTATCCTCTGTATCGCACACCATTCAATTGCCCATTCAATTATCTACACGATGCTGTTTTCCCCGTGCCGGTCGGACCCCTGGTCACCAAGATATTGCGCCGGAACCGGACCCGTGTCGGCCAAAATTAGCCGTTTTCGCCCGATTTCGCACGCCGATTTATACATGTAAAGTCTATGACGCGAATTTGCACTTTTTGAGCACGCGCCACGCGCTCCCTATCAATCCGATCGAGCTCAGACTCCTCAAAGGCACGTCGCGCATCCTTGATCTATGAGTTGTGCAAATTTCACCGGGCTAGGTGCAACGGTCTGGCCTGTAGTCCACGCAAAGCACCACCAAGTCGGGACCTCGGTAACGGACAGACGCACCCTCCTCAAATAGTAATATAGATAGCATAGCCAGGAGCAAGACCATCAGCGAACAGTGGACAATGGGGCCGGTCTTATAGCAATCATTTGATGGCGTAGTCATGAGAAGAAATGAGTGCACCTAAACGAAGAGCGATTTTTTTTTTGTAGACAGCAAATGGGCAATGAAAAACATGAACCGTCGACATGCATCAAAAGATATGAAAACATTGAACACAAAGACATGTCATGACATCAATGACCATGTCATGCTGCACCATACGCCAGAGTCCAGTACACCACCCTGCGGCTACCCCTCCAGACGCACCTCTCCAGTGCAGGTGCCGGCGACGCTGCCGAACGTCCTGACGGACAGTAGGCGGGACGGCGTGTCGAACGGCGCAGCCACCAGGAACGTCGCCGAGCCGGTCGGCCTCTCTGCGTCGCTGGCCATCGCGCTCTAGGGGAAGGGGGAGGTCAAGTTACTTGCGCGGTGGTGCAGCGCTTCTTGCTAGCCGCGGAAGGTAAAATATAGTCAATAGAGTTCTACTTCAAGGCAATCCATACCATGCGGTCCGGGAAGCCTTTTCAGGTGCACACAAAATAAAAAGTGATGCAGCGGCCCATTACTTGAATCGTTAACATCATAACGCGGTAAAAAGTAGCAACAAATGTGACCATAGTCCATAAAGAGGTGAAGCTGATGAATATTCTTGGAACAGCAGGGCCACAACGGGTCATTGTCACCCTCGTTTGTAAAGCATCAAGTAGATTACCTCTTTCACATGGCTACATGGTTACTTTTCACATGGTGAATGGTCCGAGTCGAGAAGGCAGTTTGTCTCACCTGGGGTGGGGCCGAGCCACGCAGGACGATAGGCACGGTGGGAAGCTGGGCGGTCAACTCTGCTCCATCGCTGAACGTGGCAGTCACCTGAAACGGACCGAACCGAAAATGTGTTCAGTGCACTAGATAAATACAACTTCTCGCACTTTTCCATAGGTTAGCAAAACGCACACTGTTCACAGGAAATAACTAACACAGACAAGTGATGCATAACAATAGAAAAGATAGCATTTCAGTATGGTGAAGAGTAACTGCCAGATCAGCCCTCCCCCACTGACCGACGTATCCGACCCTGTGACGGCGGCTCCGCAGAAGTAGGGAATGTTGGGCTCCTGAACCGGCGGGCAGTTGGCCTCCAGCAGGCTGGCTGCCTGGGTGACGTTCACCGAGACCTGCTGACTGAGCACAGCTTTGCCAGCTCGCTTCTGCGCCGATACAGAGATGGTGAACGTGCCCGGATAGTAGAACAACACTTCTTGGCTCATTGTCGCGCCGCTGGCTGCGAGAAACGCAGAAGGTATGTGACATTCACGTGACCGAAACGACGAGGCAACGGTTCGATGTCAGTCGTGAGACGATAACGCATAATTAGAAGTAGGACGGTAATAATTAAGATGTTGATGTTCTATGTATCAGCTATGTGTGTCCTTGTGCTTTCAACAAAGTTCGCCAATGGCTCAAAAAGTGCAGTACATAGGTTTAGATTTGATGTGCTTACATAGGTTTGCCAAGTAAAATTAAACACCATAGAATAGAGTTAATCAATTCAATTTTACATGATGCGTACGGGAAATGTGTGCAAAATAAAACGTAAAAATTTTTTACCATTGCGCTAAGCATTGTATACTGCTTTGAATTGCGATATTTCTTTGCTCATGTAGGTCATGCTACCTCTGGGCCCTCCCCCTCCCAGACAAAGTGACTTACTGCCAGTCGTGTCATCCACGCCACTGATGTTGAACGCCGGTGACCGATCGCCGGCCTGAATGGTGAACTCCACATCATTGACGTCAGCGGTAGCTGCGGAAGAGGTCACATCAGGTCACGTCATGCTGGTAATAATAGTACGACGAAGGTTACATCGGGTCAGGTCTATGGCCTATGGGTCAGGTTATGCTATACCGTTAGCTACGTCATATGGTCACATCGGGTAAGATCATGTTTCCGGTAACCTCAGCAGAGGTCACATCCGATCATGCAATGTAAACATTGGCAATGTTATAAGAGTCACATAGGGTCAGGTCATGTTACCGGTAGCTACGACGGAGGTCACATCAGGTTAGGTCACGGTGCTTACTGCGTCGTATTACCTGACTATACACAAGAGGGTCGATAAACAACAAATAGGTAGGTACGGTGTTCAGGCAATCATGATGTTTACCGTGTGAGCAGATTTGTCCACGATATCGATAAAGGAATATGAGGAGTGACACGCAGAAATAGAATGCCTAGCCTAATGAATCAAGGAAAAGAGTCAGCCGGTAACACCGCTGCCAGTGTCAAGGGTCATCATAAATGGCAATAAGACTGAACAACAACGATAATTTCCCCAGATATTCCTGTTGGCTGTTCCTGGAAGTAGCTGCCCTAAAAAGATACATACATTTGCTGGCCATGGGATGGCAGGCTTGGCTAATAATGGCAGACGGTTCTCACAATATAGCATGTAGGAGCCGCAATAGTTCGGTCTGTACATATTGTTGTTTCATGAAGCACCAAATATTTACGAGTTTTTTTTTTGTGCGGCCTGCGTGCATATACACCTGTTTGCGTGTTAGTTAATGGCCGAGTGACCTCCCTTTAGGCGAGGAGCTTCTGATAGTGCAACACAAAGCAATAATACAGGCGTCAACACCTTGCGCCACATGTACGATACGGAGGCTTATTGCATGTTACGTTGCGTGTTTGTAGTTAAGCGGCATTACCAAAATACCGAAGTAAAATCAATGCTGTCGCCTTTGTTTTGCAGCGGAAACTGTAATTCCTTGTCAGTAATGTATGCTGTTTCATCCATATGTCTAGATTTTGTAGGCGTTCCTGGGTCCGAACAAAATTGCTTACACAATGACGACACAAGGCGTTCTTACCCGGTAAACTGGGTAATGGCCGGTATGCAGGATCTTTTGTCTGAAAATCGTGAATGTCGACAGGGCAAAATGTGAACAACACATGCCTACCACTAGGCGTTTTCCACTTCCTCCTCCCTACCGATTCTCCCCTCCTCCTCCCAAGAAAGTCACCCAGAAAGTCAAGGAAAGTCACGCCGACCACCAACCTGAGACGGTCGCCGCCGAGCCGGCCACCACGGGCGTGCCGGCGGGCGCCACGGTCACTGTCAGCGCGGCCAGGTCCTCGGCTGCCGGCGACACCATGACGATGCCGTCCACACCGCCGCACGAGCCGTCCGAGCAGGCCGTGCACTCGGTGGAGGAGGCGGTGACCAGTTCGAACTCCTCCTTGGGAGCGCACAGGCACGCCAGCGTGCCCAGCTCGAGGTCCATCGTCTCCACTGCCGAGTAGGCCACGCCCAGCTGGCCGCACACCGTGGCACACTCCTGGCGACGCCATACGCGTGGTCAGACTTAGGCCCTGCAGGGACTGCGGCTATAGAAGGTCTCGTTTTTCTCACAGTCAATGACAATCCAAAAACTTTTTTTCGTGCAGGCTGGTCGTCTTCTATATTTTTTTATCGATGTAAAGCCTATATCTTGTTTTTCCACTGACGAAGGCACTTTGTTGTCGAAACGTCTGGTCTTATTACATTGTTTTTGGATTGTCATTGACTGTGAGAAAAACGAAATGTCTGACTCTCATAGAAGGTCTCATTTACAACATGGGTTACCTGCAGAGCACTGCCGGAGGAAACACCGAACAATTTAACGGTGTGCTGGGGCTACCGAGCAGAGAATCAGGATGAAGAGCATATCAGAGCAGCATGATCAAGGAATGCTTGAACAGTCTTTAGGCTTGGAATCTGAGAGAGGAATGTATGTGCCGATGAAAAGAAAAGACTCAAAGGCCAAATTTGCAGTGTGTGCTGGCAAAGAGTTCAGTGAGACCCGTCCCCATTATCATCACTCATGTATAATTGCAGCACACTACGAGTTTCACCGTGACCTCTTTTACACACCATTTTCAATGCCTTCTCTAACAATCATTTGATTTCCCAACAAGTACTCCTTTACTATCACCTTTCATCATAGTATAGGCATTCTCAGTAGCCTTTGCACCGGCCGAGTGCGTTACGGCCTCAAGCATAGCGGACGCGGCGGCTTGCAACGACTAGGAATATCGACCAAAGAGCATGAAATATGAAAACCTTACGAGCTGGAAAGTGTGGCCGTGTCTGTAGCAATGCGACTGAACGACGAATGGGACACCGAATTCCGGCGGAATATCGCTGACCGTCTATGACGAATAACGTCATTAAATTGACCCATAAAAGCTAGTGCTGGGAAGAAATTTATAAAATTATTACCCGAAAGGAATCTCCAGCATTTCCCGTTCGATGCCTGTCTAATAGACATGAAATGTCGAGCCGGTGGAATGCTTTCAATCATGGCCTGCTGCAGACGAACGATATTTAGTGGCCTGGCACTCGTGACGCTTGCAATAAGTTTCAATGGCCTTTTGCGCTAATTGGATTATAAATGGCCTTTTATAACTGTCAATATAGCTCTGTCAGCACCAAACTAAAACATGGAAATTGATGAAGTGGCTGAATTATTTTATCCACTTTTTATTTTAGTTCACTGGCAATGCACATTTAACCCTCGCCGGACCTATTGGTTTTCTACATACGCGCCGGCCGAGGGGGGGGGGGGCGGGTACGACCCCCCCCTCGCCGTTTCGCCCCTGGTGGAGCTAGCGCGTCGCGGAAAAAAAACGAGCGTGTGCGCCGTTACGAGACGCAGAGATTGGTACCCGATTTTAAGGTCCTAGGTCAACCGGTGACCTCTGAGGTCAGGTCAAGTGCCCCAAGGTACGGCTCAGTTTTTGGTGAATAACTTCGCAAAAAACGGCCGCAGAGCGCCGATTTTGACAGCATCGTGTTCGCCTCGCCCAGGCGCGTCGAATGATATACTTTTTGTCCGGGTCAGGTCAACTTGGGGTGTTGACCTCAGGTCAAGGTCAGGTCAGCACCCCCAGGTCACGAAGTTGGTCAAAAGAGGTCATGTCGCATATCATTCGATTCGGCAGGTCTTCCTGAGTCCATTGGTGGCTTTCTCGACTCGCTAGCTCAATTTGATCGGGAGTTATTGACGAAAAACTAATATGACCTTGATGACGTCATAAATGACGTCACGGCAGGTCAACATTGCAAAAGTGACGCATCTAACCTTGCAAGGAGTGCATCAAATAACGATTCTGTGTGCTTGAGATAGTTGGAGATCGTTCCCGGCGCCAGAATAGCAGTTTTCATTTTTCCCCATTGACTTATAATGGTGAGGTCACGAAAATGACCTGACCTCATATGACCTTCAGGAAAAATCCGAGATATACAAGTTGTGAGACTCATAATGGATACTAGATAATGCAAGTTTCATTTCCCTGTGACATCTCCTCTGGCAGTGAGGGCGTTGCGAAGTTGCGACATCTGAAGACCGTGCAGAGGTTCACTTATGACGTCATAGGTCAGTGACCTGACCTGACCCAAAAATGCGGTTGGTGTCAAAAGATGCGGCTTGGATCAAAGGTCAGGTATGCCAAGTTTCAGCTCTCTATCGCCAGCGTGTTCGGAGCTATCGCGAAAAGAACCTATGGGGGGGGCGGCACCCGCCGCCCCCCCCCTCGGCCGGCGAGGGTTAAAACTTGAAAGGATAACTTGCATGTGCATATGAAGTTGTACCTACATATAGTCCTATAGGTATACGTACATGAAAAACCCTTTATGCACTTATTTACAGATGTATGATAAAAATTCAAATCACATTATACAAAGATACTCGCAGCCGATATCCACTGTAATGCTGTTTGCTCTGGTTTTTAGGTATTTATTGCTCATGCATTTGTGGAAATTATTTTGCAACACTCCATTGTCTGCTGAACCTTTAGGCTTGCGGCGTGAAGGCTAATTAATTATGCAAAAATCGATAAATAAGTCAGCAGCATATTTCTCCATCAATCAAGCATAAAATTAAACTAAGCGAATGGTTAGCTGAAATGGGCTAACCAGCAATTAACCTTATTCACGAAATTTACCGCACAAATTTGTAATAAAAAGAAATGAGATCAAAGCATGAACATTGGACAGGCTGAGGGCCAACCATGCAGTGGTGGATCATGGGGATATTTAGGACTTTTAACCTGCCAGACACATCCAAAATGGAGCAACTGTGCCCGTTTGACTGCGTGAAAAAAAAAACTAAAGTATATTTATCAGAAAATATTTTTTCTTAATTCGACAGCTAGGCGTAAAATAGGAAAATCCGAAGAGTTTTGGAAGCTAGAGAGCCTCTCCAGGGAATGCAACACATGCATCGTCAAATCACTGCCACTTATTGGATTCGCTATTGCATACATGAATGTTATATTGTATTTCAATGAAATATCATAACCCTCGCATGTGTAGGGGGGGGGGGGTCGGATGGACCCCCCCATAGTTTTTCGCGAAAACCTCGCGTAAAAAGCGGCCGATCGCACCGACACTTTCAGTACCCTCGCATTGATCAATGTTACACCTACCGTAAAAATTTCATGACCCTGACCCAAATGACCTTTGACCTGTGACCTCTTTTCCGAGACCATGTTTGGCCGGAATCGCGATTCCGCGTATGTATGTCGGCTCGCATTAGCCGCACGTTTGTAAGCTTTTCGTGGTTTCAAACGTTCAAACATGTGATTTGATGTTGCTCCCATGCATTTAGGTGGGTGTCAAGGTCACCTGAGAGTCAGGTCAGGTCATTGACCTTTGGTGACCTCGGTTCACTTTTTCGAGTTTAACATGTTTCTAGGCTAGTTTTTGGAGCTGAATTCGAATTTAGCAACCATTTGAACATTTACGAAGTAGTTTTGGTGACTTCTTAACCCTCGCCCGTAAACGGTGTTTTGCCACCTTCGCCCATGCAGGGGGGGTGGTTGGTGCGACCCCCCTGGCGTTTGAAAACGGAGGGTCGTAGAGCTTAGCGGAAAAGACCAACGGATTGCTCTCAACGAGATCTCGCGATTGGTGGTATATTTTTTGATCCTAGGTCAACATTTGACCTACTTATGACCGGTCAAAGGTCAAATTTTCGGAAAAATCTAACTTTTTCAGATTTCCGCGCCGATTGCGGCAAAACGGTAAGAGATATCGACTTGAAACCTTCACTATCGTGATCCTTGATCAATTCTCTATCGTTTGGTGTGTATTTCGATGTCATAACTCTAAAAATGATGCGTTGGGAGCATCGGAAGTCTGCAAGTTCATTTGTGCATTGGGTCACGTCAGGCGTGTGACGTCACTGACCTGACCCTGACCCAAAATGAACTACAAGAAACAACCGACGGTGCCTAAAATGGATAGCAAATTCGAATTCAGGGCATCAAAATACCCCGAAAAGGCATACAAGTGCAAGAAGTCATTACAGGTCAACCGAGGTCACTGCCCTTACCTTGACCTTTAGTGACCTTCAAAATGTCAACGGACATTGTGCCAATGTCAAATCAGCCAGTTGTGATTCTAAAACAATCCATCAGTGTGTCAGGTAAGTCGGCATTTATACCAATGTGAAGCAATCTCCAATTTAGCGTACCTAAATCTGGCCGGAGGTTGTTCCCTTTATGACGTCATAACTCCGTGACCTGACATGACCTTGACAAAAAATACCAAAAGTTGCGCAAAGGATGCCCCATAGGGTACCGAAAATTTGAGCAGGCTATCTGAAACGGTTCGGCGTGTAGCTAAGAAAAACCTCAGGGGGGGGGGGTTGCACCAACCCCCCCCCCCCCCTACATGGGCGAGGGTTAACATGTTACGAAGCTGTCAGAGGCGGTTGACACGTACTACGAATACCCGTCACGACGCCTACCTGTTGACCTGACCTGACCTGACCCGACCTGTTCCAAATGTTATAGACATCATCTGTGATCAAAAAATAACACGATATTCGTGAATAGCACCCCGAAAAACTACTTAGCAGC